TCTAATGTCAGCAGGTTCTTGTAATACTCGCATTCTCCTTTCAGAATATACAGGGCTAACACAGAGTTTTACAAGTCTTTTTCTTCTTTTCAAACACATAACCTTTGGTTCAAATAAAATCTTACCTGAAAGGGTAAATAAAACAGGCAAAAGAACAGGTGTTATGGCTCAATGCAGGGGAGAGGGATGCCCCTAGTTTCCCACAGCCTCTAAGCTTTAATTAACTGGGTAATTAAAACACATTTTTCAGTGTTTTTAACTCCAATACTACTAAATAAAAACATAAAAGCAAACCACCACATAAAAGTCAGATTTACTAAAGTAAAAATCACCATTTACAGTAGCATTCACTGAAGTAGAACATACCTCCCCAAGGGACCTGCGGACCTCAGTCATCACACTCTGAATGTCTTCCTTGGTACTACAGTATTCTCCCAGGATCCATAATGCTCCTCGGTAAATCCTAAGGGAAGAACAAGTTCTGAAACAGGGACATTGCTAACAAATCTTAAAGCAAAGTGAATTTAAGCTCAAGAAAGAAAGTAAGATTCTGCAGTTCCAAGAGACTATGGATGAAATTTTAAGAAAGAAATGTAACAAAGACACTAAGTTTGATTCTCTCCAGAAATCACAAGGATTAAAAGGAAAATAAGTATTCTCACCCATTATTATTAGGAACACTTTAAAATTGGTAAACTCATTAGTAAAAATAACAAAATGTCTCCCAGAAAGGTGTTATCCTCCATTTAGGACAGAGTTAAGGTAAATTTTATCATTTACTACTATAAAAAATGTACAACTTTGATATAAAAAGTAATTCACTTTTTATTTGTAGTCACTGAAAAGGCAGGATGCTGAACAGATAAGGAAGGAGTGCAAAGGATCAGTAATTAGAAAAACTGCAGAAACATAAAGAAAGCAACAATTCTCTAGTTAAGAATGTTAAACTGAATGAAGTCTTTAGTTATCTTTTCCTTAAGATTTTCATTAACTTTATTCAGAAAACATTTTAGAAACTAAAACTTTTTTTTTTTAAAAGGTTTTATTTATTTGACAGAGACAGACACAGCGAGAGAGGGAACACAAGCAGGGGGAGTGGGAGAGGGAGAAGCAGGCTTCCTGCGGAGCAGGGAGCCCGATGTAGGGCTCGATCCGAGGACCCTGGGATCAGGACCTGAGCCGAAGGCAAGACGCTTAACGACTGACCTACCCAGGCGACCCCCCCCGCAAAAAAATATTCTTAAAGGGTATACCTTCCTAGTTTTTCTCTTTCCTGAGACTGGCCTCCTGATATAAAGACTGGAGCTCCAGTAGGCATCTTAGCCATGTAGATGAGGGCCCACACCCTAGAAAGAACCTGGGTCCTAATGACTTATATTGTCATAAGTTGTCATAACTGCCCTCTGAATCTTTTTTAAAGATTTTATTCATTTATTAGAGAGAGAGCACAAGGGGGAGTGACAGAGGGACAGGGAGAAGCAGGCTCCCCGCTGACCAGGGAGCCCCCCATGTGGGGCTTGATCCCAGGACCTGAGCCGAAGGCAGCCGCTTAATGACTGAGCCACCCAGGTGCCCCTAGGCTGCATTTTCAATCCCTCATTTTAATAAATACTAATGGGGGATATAAATAATGGTATCCAAAAAGTGATACACTTTAAAAATATGTTCCTTAGTCACTTGAGGATTCATCATGTTTTAGTGGAAATAAGGATAGAGAAACCTAGCTAAATCACACCTACAAAAGCAAATTTTTGCCCACAGATTATGGATTTACTGAGGTTGGGGTGAGGAGATGTCTACTGTGATACTTATATTGACTTTAGTATCTTGATTCATTTCTTCTCCCTTACATGTTCTATCAACTGACCCTTTAAAGATAGAAACTGATAAATTGCTTGCTTGACCTTAATTTATTTATTTATTTTTTAAAGATTTTATTTATTTATTTGACAGAGAGAGACACAGCGAGAGAGGGACCACAAGCAGGGGGAGTGGGAGAGGGAGAAGCAGGCTTCCCGTGGAGCAGGGAGCCCGATGCGGGGCTCGATCCCAGGATGCTGGGATCATGACCTGAGCCGAAGGCAGACACTTAACGACTGAGCCACCCAGGCGCCCCTTGACCTTAATTTAAACAGACTTTAAACTTACTTGACAGATTTAATAGCATGAAAGACTTCAAGCATCTTCTCAACAATAAGCATTCTCAGGTTATCAAAGCGCTGAATGGCTTCACGAACAAACTCCAACACATCAGCAGCTGCTGCTTCATTATTGTCACTGAGAAATTCCATTAACTGAAAGGAAAAAAAGGAAAACAGGGTAAGTTATATAATTTTTTTAAAAAGATTTATTTATTTGAGAGAGAGGGAGGCCACATATGTGCACACAAGTCGGGGGAGGGGCAGAGGAAGAGGGAGAGAGAGAATCTCAAGCAGACTCCACACTGAGCACTGAGTCCGACATGGGACTCAATCTCATGACCCTGAGATCATGACCTGAGCTGAAATCAAAAGTCGGACACCTAACTGACTGAGCCACCCAGGCGCCCCATAAGTTATATAATTTTCACAAAGAAAATTTTAAGTTTTTTAGTTTTAGGTTGTTTTTTTTTTTAAGATTTTTATTTATTTATTTGACAGAGAGAGACACAGAGAGAAGGAACACAAGCAGCAGGGGTGGGAGAGGGAGAAGCAGGCTTCCCGTGGAGCAGGGAGCCTGACGCGGGGCTCGATCCCAGGACCCTAGGATCATGACCTGAGCCGAAGGCAGACGCTTAACGACTGAGCCACCCAGGCGCCCCAAAAATTATCTAAGTTTTAAGAAGTAAACAAATTTACAAAGACTATAATAATTTTTGAACATATAACAAAATGTAAGTTGAGAGAAAAAGCACTGCTATGTAAACAAAGTCACAATGTCTTTCCTGGGTTTTGTGCAGCCAAGCTTATTACAAAAAACTCACTATAAAATGAAAGCTGGTGGGCGCCTGGGTGGCTCAGTTGGTTGGGCGACTGCCTTCGGCTCAGGTCATGATCCTGGAGTCCCAGGATCGGGTCCCGCATCGGGCTCCCTGCTTGGCGGGGAGTCTGCTTCTCCCTCTGACCCTCCCCCCTCTCATGTACTCGCTCTCTCTCATTCTCTCTCTCTCTCAAATAAATAAATAAAATCTTTTTAAAAAAAAAAAATGAAAGCTGGAAATACACAACTCAAAATAAAGTAACTGGATACTCCTAAGTTGTAACTAAAAGTAAAATCATTTCAGAAAAAATTTGTGGAGTTCAAAGACAAAATTTCAAATTACAACATACCTCATTTATCTGACAGTGACAGAAGCCAATGATTCTAGGTACATATATTTTTCCTATAACTAAATCCTTCAACTTTTAAGAGGTAAAACTATTTGAAAGAAATACTTGTTTGTGCTACTGAATGATATATATATATACACAGCATAATTTTATCATAGGTAACTGTAGCAAACACTAATTATAGTAATATGTGGAGGTATTTTTGTCATTATATTTTTGTGTTTACTTTTTTAATGAAGATGTAAGAGAAAGAAGTCAGATTCCTTATCCTTCTGAGCTTAAGGGTGAACAGAAAGGTCACTTCTGACCACAAGATTTAGTGATTCTACTAAACAGTTTAACTGCTAAATAACTAAACCTTTCTATTCTTTTAGAGAATTTCAAAATTAAAGTCATCAGAATTACATACCACAGGAATAACATTTGCAGCCATATCTGGAAATCGGACAGAACAGGAATGCAATGTTCTCACAAGGAGTTGTCTGTATTTGTCAGTATCTTCATGCTCAGACACATTATTTGTTTTAATCACTTCCTTCTTCAGAACAATAACCAACTAGAGAACAAAGTAAAAATACGTGGGAATTACATCATGTTTGGCCTGACGGCTTACAACAGTGCCGTCAGAGTTTTGTTTTACCTCTTCAACATTCCTAGAAGAGACAAGATCCAGTGTTAACTGCAGAGTTTTCTTGCGTACTTCTAAGTCTGGTGTGCTCAATACTCTCAGGATGTCCATAACCAGATCCTGAGAAAGAACAAAAAATCCAGAATTAACACCAATATTAAGAGAAAAAAATCCTAACCACAGAATAGAGGGTTCTGACCATCATTACCTTAATTCTTTCAATAATAAAATCACTGGTGGTGGAAGAACCAGATATTTTGGGTATCCTGATGTAACACAATATGAAATATATAATATCACATATGATGCATTCAAACTGCAAATGTTTACTGTGACTCTATCAAGCTTTAGCTCAAACTCAGTTTATAGAAAATTCAGAAGTCAGAGAAACAAACTAAATGACACCACCAGAAAGTAATCAGATGTATCTACAAGGAGGGGCATCTTACAGGACAACTGGTCTGGTCTCTTCAACAAGCCCATATCATGAAAAAAATTAACTGCTCCAATTAAAACATCAAGGACATAACACGGTAAGACATATGGTCATGAATTAGACAAGCCAAACAAAAGGGGTATTTCAGGGACATCTGGGAAAATTTGACTTTGGAGTTGGTATTAGATAATATTAAGAAACTATTAATTTTGTTAAGTGAGATAATGTTATTTTCGCTCTGCAGGAAAATGTAATGTTTTAATGGCACATACTTTAAAAAACACTATGGCAGATAAAGATTTTAAAATATAGCACAACTAATTTACAAATGATTTTACTTCTTTAAAACTTTAAAAAAATTTCACTGATAAAAAAGTTCTAAAAATCACGGGGCGCCTGGGTGGCTCAGTTGGTTAAGCGACTGCCTTCGGCTCAGGTCATGATCCTGGAGTCCTGGGATCGAGTCCCGCATCGGGCTCCCTGCTCAGCGGTGAGTCTGCTTCTCCCTCTGACCCTCCCCCCTCTCATGTGCTCTCTCTGTCAAATAAATAAATAAAATCTTAAAAAAAAAAAACAAAAACTAAAAATCAATTCCTATATAACTTTCATTTACACTCACCAGTTGTTAATATTTTGCCACACATACTTTATCCCACTCTCGCTACACCTAAACATTTTAGTGTACATCTCCCATGAATAAGGATAAACTCTTATATAACCACAATACAATTATCAAATTCAGAGAACATTGGTAACAATGATATCACAAAATATACAGTCCATAATTCTCATTTCTCTAATTGTCCCAATCATGTCCTATAGAGCAAATTTTTTGTTGTTGCTCTGACCCAGAATAACATTGAATTTAGCTGTCATTGGGCTTTATTTTTTTTTTTTTAAGATTTTATTTATTTATTTGAGAGAGAGAGACACAGCGAGAAAGGGAAACAAGCAGGGGGAGTGGGAGAGGGAGAAGCAGGCTTCCCGCGGAGCAGGGAGCCCGACGCGGGGCTCGATCCCAGGACCCCGGGATCACGACCTGAGCCGAAGGCAGACGCTTAACGACTGAGCCTCCCAGGCGCCCCAGGGAGAAGCAGACATCCTGCTGAGCAGAAAGCCCAATGCGGGACTCGATCCTGGGACTCCAGGATCATGACCTGAGCTGAAGGCAGTCGCTTAACCAACTGAGCCACCCAGGTGCCCCCATGGGGCTTTATTTTTATAAAAATCATTATTCTCACAGATTTCACAGGTATGCTGATAATTCCACAGAATTATCTTTTATTCTCAATCAGTTGGCATATTTTTCAAAAACAATAAATTATATTCAAATTAAAATGAATGTATCTCTATTGTTAATACCAAATGTAGTACAAATAGAAAAGATATAAGATAACACATTAATTCATATTAGAAATATTTTTTATGGCAAATACCCTAAAAGGCTATGGCGATTCAAGAGTTACACCTTAGCTGACCAAAATTTAAATTGCCCAGTCTCCAAGAATTTAAGTTAACCAAGATAGCAAAGCTTGAGTGTTACCTCAATTTGAAAAAGATTTTATCTAGGATTTCTCTCTTTCAGATAACATTTACCTGTAGTACTCGTTCATGAGCAGGATGCTCTTTTAATTCTATCAATCGATCCAGAACTATGAGCTTTACGTTGTTGTCACTCTCCTTAATAATTAAATCAATGTAACACTGAGCAGCTGCCTATATAAAAAAAGAAACACATTTTAGGAACACATTCATCCATCTTAAACACAGAATCTGAAAATAAGAAAAAAAAAAAGTCCCCAAAGAAGCCAAAATACATTCACTACTCCTGCACTAAAAGTTTATGAATATTTCCCAAAGGAATGTGTCCCTCTGATCCCTATATTCTAATAAATCTCATTATTTTCAAGTTTAAAAAAGTTAAGAAGAATCACAAGTTAAAAGGATGAAAAGGGGCTGTTAGAGGCAGAAATACTAACAGTCAAAAATTAAGGGTTGAAACTAAGGAACAAGGCAGAAAAAAGCAGAGTATCCCCCAAAATATAGCTACTGAGTATCTTTGAGTTTAGGTGCGAAGTCTAACACACCTGCATTACAGTACAGAAAAATCAAGGCTATAAAGATGACCCTGACTCATTAAAAGCAGAAGACAAAGGAGCAAACCTGAAAGAGCTCCCAGTGGCTAAAGCTGGAATAGTATGATCAATGAAACAAATAACAATAATGATTATAATACATAGAATAAAATGGTCATACTGATATGAAGAATGAAGAAGGGAGGGAAGGTGGGAGGTAAAGGGACAGCTCTTCTTGCAGGACTTCAGTTAATAAATGTATAATGAGGGAAACAGAAAGTCACCATTAGAATATCACATTAATAACTGCTATACAGAAATGCTAAAATTAGTTGGTATAGGTTTGAAGAGAAATAGGTTATTTGCAGTTTCAAAGTATCTTCCCATGTTATTTACTGATTACAAAAGGAAAAATCATAACTTAACAGTGGAGATATCTGGCAGGCATCACCTTAACCGACTGATCAAGGTTAACATCACTAACAGTATTCCAACATCATGTACACTCCTTCACTGAGAAAGGTTCATCACTTCCATGGTATTCTTCCCCAAAATGCACAACCTCAATCTAACTGTGAGAAAACATTAGACATACTCAACTTGAGGGACATTTTACAAACAAATTGACCCAGTATTCTTCAAAAGTGTTAAGGTCATGAAAAACAAGAAAAGGCCTGAGGAAGTGGCACAGATTGGAGGAGACTAACACATGACAACTAAATGTAATGTGGAATCCTGGATTGAATCCGGTACAAAAAAAGGAGATTGGTGAAGTAAATTGGTGGAATTCAAATAACATCTACAGTTTAGTTAACAATATTGTTCCAATGGTAATTTCTTAATTTTGACAATTATACAATTGCTATGCAAGACACAAACATTATGGGAAGCTGGTGAAGGGTAATGAGAACTTTGTCCTGTTTTTACAACTTTTGCTGTTTTGTTGTTCTGTAAGTCTAAAATTATTTCAAAATCAAAAATTAAAAATTTTTTTCTAAGTATTGGCAGGTAAAGCAATCAAGTCTCCTATTAATACAAGCTGGCTTTATAGAACTATTCTTTCTCTGACTATATTAGGGGTTCCTCATGTAGTCTTTTTTTTTTTTTTAAGATTTTTTATTTATTCGAGACACAGAGATAGAGAGAGAGAGAGAGCATGATCAGGGGGAGAGGCAGAGGGAGAGGGAGAAGCAGGCTCCCTGCTGAGCCAGGAGCCCAACGTGGGGCTTGATCCCAAGACCCTGGGATCATGACCTGAGCTAAAGGCAGACGCTTAACCATCTGAGCCACCCAGGCGCCCCCCTCATTGCAGTCTGGATACAGTAAATTAGAGAAGAGAAAGCTAACATTCCAATATTGAAAACATGCACTGTAATCTTTTTTTTTAGGATCCATCATGTAGGATCCAAAATTCATTTTCCCAGATCTAGGTTTTAACGTAATTAAAGTATGGGGAGAGATCTTAAAATACCAGTATCATTCTCCAGAAACTAGAAATATTAGCATTCTCTCTGTGTCTCCCTTTCTTCCCTTGTATATGTATGAAAGCAGGAAGGAAGGAAAAAAAGATTGGACTATGTAAGGAATCCAATAATTTCACAACATTTATAAACTGTTATTTCTGTGCCATGTAATGCCACGTAATCACAAAGTAAACTGCAATGCCACTAAATCATTAAGCACTGGGGTGCCTGGGTGGCTCAGTCAGTTAAGTGTCTGACTCCTGGTTTCGGCTCAGGTCGTGATCTTGGGGTCCTGGGATCAAGGCCTGCCTTGGACTCCAAACTTCCCTCAGAGTCTGCTTGAGATTCTCTCTCTCTCTCCCTCTGCCCCTTCCCTCCCCTGCATTCTCTCTCCCTCTCTCTCTGTCAAGTGAATAATAAATCTTTTAAAAAAGAGAACAAATTAAAAAATAAAAAAATAAATAAGTGCTAAGACAGCATATCTATCATCTAACTGGCACCAAAAGAAATAAGCAGTACCTTGATTGCAGTAGGCGCACTAGAGAGTGTCACTAATGTTCCGGCAGCTTCATATTTTACAGCTGGGCTAGATGACTGTAATAAGTTATAGATGCAGCGAATGAAACGAGCCCTTTCTGATGGATTAGCATGACAGACCTGGAGAAGAGAACATTTAGGTTTCAACTGACTCCAGGGACACCTGCTTTCAAACAGATTTTTTTACAGATGTCAGCTTAGATGCTAGTTTTCTTAATCTGAAAACAAAGAATAATGATATAAGGGCATCTGAAGATGTCAGCCAACATGAGATAAGACACTGTGACTGGTAATTTCAGGAAGAAATAGGTTTTACTTCAGACAATTGTTATAGCTACTCATTCATTTATTTATTCAATCACAATTAATATTCTCACTCTTTCACAAAAGATTTTCAAATGGTTTATAATAAAAGATATGCATACTATACACAAGTGAAAAAGAACAAGAGAATGTAAAGTAACAAAATCAAGGACCAAGGGCGCCTGGGTGGCTCAGTTGGTTGAGCGACTGCCTTCGGCTCAGGTCATGATCCTGGAGTCCTGGGATCGAGTCCCGCATCGGGCTCCCTGCTCGGCGGGGAGTCTGCTTCTCCCTCTGACCCTCCCCCCTCTCATGTGCTCTCTCTCTCCTCTCATCCTCTCTCTCAAATAAATAAATAAAATCTTTAAAAAAAAAAAAAATCAAGGACCAAGTGCATTAATATGGGTACTGTGACAGGATATTAAATTTGGTCCTAAATTTTTACTCTGGATGTCATGTCAAAAAGGGAAACATGATGGATATCAATCTCAATAGCTAATAAAAGGAAAATACCCATTCTTAAAGCAAGAAAGATAACCCGTTTCTCAAGTACTATTACTTATTTATTTGGAACCATATTCCATACTGTGGAGACAACTAAAAATTTCTATGCTATCCTAAATATATTTTAATACCTTTACCCATGAAGCAAATATTCCTTATTCTTCCTTTTTTGAAGTTGGTTTTTATGTCAGATTTTCCTTTAATATATATATATACAGTCAAATCTCTTTTATTTAGGCATGGCTCAAAAACTATTTCCTCTTACTATAACCTGGATCCTGATAGACAAAGAAGTCTCTGAACAGCAGAGAATTCCTATTTTTGAGAGCCTCAGCAGCATCTCTAAACCATACAATGAATTAAAAAGAACTATATATTTACAGTTCTGGTTTCATCTTAAATGCCAAACCTAAATGACTGATTCCCTGTGTTGAAAGGGGCCCTTTTCTTTCAGAATCAAAGACAGCGGTCATCAGCAGTGTCTGCTGTGGGTACTTTGTCAATATTGTCCTATTTAGTAAAGTCACTCCTGATGTAGATTTTTGTTGGCCTCCAATGGTGTCAACAGCAAAATTGGATGTTATTTACCTTTTATCAGAACATTAAGATACAATCAATTCTTTCAAAGAATATATCAAGTTTAAATGTTGCCAATAAAGCACTTCATTTTAAAACCCAAATCTCATCTAGTTTTAGACTTCCTATTGGGCAATGGCTAACAATGTCATATTGATATATTTAAAATCTATTTTCCTTTACAAACAAGGAACACAGAAAATATTTAAAGCTTTTCTGATTTGTTTTTAGATTTCCAAAGTAGTCTGGTGTGTACTCAAGAAAAGATCTTGAATTTTTTTTCCAAAGCCTGATTCATAATCTATTCAGTTACTGAATAGTGCACGATGATTTCTCTGCTGCTGTATTGGGTCAAGCCATGAGTTTTTAATAGAATTCTTTAAGGAGGTTTAGAAAAACTGGAAGTGCTTGGAAAACACAATAAACCAAAGGAAAAAGAAAAAAAAGGCTTTCATAGATTATGCTATAAAATATTTCTACTACTAAAACATAATATCCCAGCAATTAAGCAACATTCCAGAAAAAGAGAATTTAACCTTGTCTTAAGCTCTTAGAGTGTATGTTACCCATTTTAGTCTTACCTTATAAATTAATTCAACAATAACCAACTGAAGAATGTCTCCAAATGTTTGAACTTGATCAATGCAAGTACTTAGGTAATCCAAAGCTCGATCCTAACAAAATAAAAATACATTTATCAAATTCCACCTCATTCAATAAAAGGACTTAATCAGTGCAACCTTTAAAAAACATACACAACTGAATATAAAAGAAATGAGGAAATCAGGGCAAAGAAAAATTAAATGAAGGGAAAAAAAGAAGGTTAACACATACATGTAAGAAATAAAGTCCAATACATTTCCTAGAAATGGGCCAAAAATTTGGGGTCTGAATTTTCTAGCAGCTAAACTGAGGAGAAAAACACTATGTATTACATGATTCAGAGTACCCATACAATCAAAACAAACCAGCTGTTTAGAAGCATGGTTATTCCTACTTCTAAAACTTAAAAGAAAAATCTCAACGATTCTCATATACTGAATACTGATATAGAAAACTATGACCTCAACAATATCTCTATAGCAAAAGTATCAGGAAATTTTATTGAACTTTTTCTGATTATGCCCCCCGTGTAGGTAAACAGCATAACACCAAATATATAGGTCAATAAAACCAACTGTACAAGAGGACAAAAGATCCTGGCCCAAATAAGCAGCTTTCTTATAATCTTGTTCACAAGATAAAATGACAGCATCTAGATTTCAGAGAAATGGACAGACTCCGTATCTTTCAGTCTTCATTATTTCCCACATTTGGAGAATACTGGACAGCAAAAATTCCAAGATTAGATGCCACCAAAGTATGCAGTCACTGCTGACCACCCCGCCATCCCCCCACCCCCCTGCCAATCCATACACTTTAAGCACTAGCAGAGCTGGATGTGGAGTTGACACCAACTTATGAAATCTGAAGAGCCTAGTAAGGATACACATCTACACCGAAGACCACGCTTCTTTCACAGACATGGCTCAGGGTGAACCCTATACAAAGCTACCACTTTTCTCTATTAAACAATTTTAGATCTATACCAATAAGAGGAATAACAGGTTCAAGCCCCAAAACAGAGTGTTACAAAATATGGCCATAATAATTTCAATCTGGAAAAACTGTCAAGTGGCTATTATTAAATATCTCTCAGTTGTTTACTAAAAAATAAAGTATATACATAAGCAATTGTCTGGAGAAAGATTAAGAAAAAACTATTTTATACAAATTAAGTTCAAAAATCTAAAAAAACCCAAAATATACAAACACTTGTACTATAAAAAAATCACTGACTAAAAACTTGATTAGGCCTATGTGAATACTTTTAATTATCATTTGAATACAGTCATAAAAGTATTTTTTAAAAAGTACTTCACCTGATCTGCATGAATTAACATCATAAAGGCATTCCTTTTGCAACTTGCATCCTTCTCATTCACCAGAAAATCATGTATCAGTTCAGGAGCATCAGGTATAAGATGTTCAAAATTCCTTGAAATAAAACAGGTAATATTCATATTTAATGAAAACCTACTTTGTTATTTTAGTAACTGCCTGGACACTACTAAAATTAATCTTTATCAAGCTTTATAACACTGTCAATTGTTTTGCTTTTTGAAACCTTAAGTCAATTAGAACTGTGGGTAGAAATCACAAACTTACATCTTCATCTATTAAATTATCAAATTATATGCTTTCTACTTTAATAAAGAAAAAGCTGACTTTTTCCACAGCTATCGTTCACCGGAATATCTCTAATAATTGTCTTTCATATACTTTATATACTTCATAAACTTTAGGAATACAAGATCAATGCTCATGATGACATTCTCAGTGTACTGAAAGAGTCTTAAGAATTATCAGGAATAAAAATAGTCCCTTGAGGGGTGCCTGGGTGGCTCAGTCAGTTAAGTGTCTGCCTTCAGCTCAGGTCATGATCCCGGGGTCCTGGGATTGAGCCCTGCATCGGGCTCCCTGCTCAGCGGGAGAGTCTGCTTCTCCCTCTTGCTTGTGCTCTCTTTCTCAAATAAATAAATAAATAAAATCTTTTTAAAAATAGTCCCTTGAATTGTATAATTATGCATTATAATTACTTATTCACTTACTTGCTAACTTACTTCCTATTCGGGAAAATTTTAAGTATTTGTAGTATACAGAATAATGAAACCAGCTTAAAAACCATCACCTGACTTCAACAATTGTTAATTCATGGCCAATTCTGTTTCACCTATTCCCCTGCCCACTTCTTCTCCTCCCATATTATTTTGAAGCAAATCCCAGACCACTTACCACTTCTTCTATAAATATATCGGCATATTATAATTGAGGATACTTTTTATTTTTATTTTTTAAAGATTTTATTTTATTTTATCAACTAC